CCCTGACACACTTTCTCAACCTCACCCCTCTCTGGTACATATTGTAAGTTCTGAGTACGAGTGAGGGTGGAGGGGTGAGAATGGACAAGAGAGGCATCGTCAGAACTTGGCAGTAAGTTAACTGGAGGGAAAGAAGAGTTGGGGCGTCCCAAGCAATGCCCAGGGTTCTGGCTTGGACGACAGGCCAGATGAGGAAACATTCGCTGAGGGGGATCCAGGAGGAGGCGCCGCTGAGGCTGGAGCACAGAGGGTGTTCAACTCCGTGTTGGACACAGTGAGTTTGAAAAGCCTGTAGAACATCGAGTGGGGCCATTCAGGGACAACGACATACAAGTGCATCACGTAAGAGTTCAGCCTCTGCTGTGAGGGTGTGTGTGTGTGTGTGTGTGTGTGTGTGTGTGTGTGTGTGTGTTAGTGAGTATGTGGAGCTGCGCCACTGGTTGTGTGTGAAATGGAAAGACACACGGGGGGTGTGTGTGTGTTACACCTACTGCTTATAATTCCTTGAGATTAGAAACTTTGTCATTTCTTCCCTTTATTTCCAAAGGTGCCTAAGACACAGCTGGCCCTCCTACTTTGTAAGATTGCAGCAAGGATTAAATAGGATCAGGAATCTGAAAAAGCTGCTTCAAAATGGAAAAATGTGTTCTAAGATTTGTTGTTGTTATGACGACCATCCTCCTCCTCTGGCCCGGAAACGCCCAGATCTCCCGTTGCCTACGGAATAGAAGTAGTCCGCGTCCTCGGGGCTCAGTTCCACATCTACCCTTGCAGCCTCATCGCCCACTCCTCACCTTTCCCAAGCCAGCCTGACCCTCCCAGCTGTGTCTTTGCCCCTGTCCTCCTGCCAGTGCAATCAGACGCCCTCTCCTCCACAGGGTGAACCTGGGACCTTGAAAAACCTGTGCAGGCATGAGTCCCAACAAGGGTTTTGTCAATTCTGTGACTGGACTGGAAGCTCCATAGAGCAAGTGCTTTCTTTCATTCACAGAGCAGGACGCACATTCAGTAAACATCTGCAGAAGCGAACGAATGCGTGAGCCTCCACATGCCCCGACCTAGTACTTTCCTTGGCAGTAGAAAAGCGAGATGGGTGATTCAAGGAATAAAAGGCGTCTGCTCCCTGCACCTGGAATGTTGTGCTTGCCGTCTATTCCGAGTGGCATCTTAACATTCCTTCCATATCCACCCTACACACCCCCTTCTCCCTGCCGGAAGCCCTCTCTCCCCTCCCTGGGACCTCACAGTGCTCTGCACCTTGTCTATCACTCTCATCTCCATTCCTGTTCCATTGGAGTCTTTTGTGTACCTGATGCCATTAGACTGGAGCCCTTGAAGGCAAAGCAGGTGTCTGACAAGCACTGCGCCCTGTGCAGCCCCTAGCGCACTCCCTAACACACAGTGGTTGGTACATAAATGCACCTCGCCTTGAACGGTGGGGACCAACTCAGAACTTCAATGTAGCATTTAAAGCTCAACCACCCAGCCTGCTCTCCCCTCTCGTGGAGGCTTCCCTGGCCCCTGGCTCACCCTGAAGTACAAGCCTACTCCCTACTCCCTACTCAGACCTCCTCTGACATGGCCCTGCTACAACTCCTCCACATCTGGCCCTGGGTCTCTGGTCTCTGATTCACTCCCAGCTAAGCATCCGCCCCCCCCACCCCCCCATCAGGAGCACACCTGTGGGTTCAGAGAGCAGGGGGTCTTTGGTCCAGCGGAGGCTCTGGGCACCAGGGGATGACATTGAACATGCTTGGTGCAGCTGCATTCTCCAGCGAGTCACAATCAATTGGGAATTGAAGTTCTCTCCCCCAGGAAAGAACTTTGCCTACTCCCCTTCTTTCTCGGTTGAGCTATGCATGGACACATTGACTTCTGCCTCCTCCCGGCTCGATCGTTTTTCAGCTGTGGTTTTTCCCTGCAGTTCTAGCCGAGGGTTAATACGGGTTTTCTTCTTGATCGTAGATCCACATTTATGAAACCCTAATGAGGCATTTCCTTTAGCTGCCTTCCTAGATTACTTGGTGCGAGGAGTCCGCAGGCATAAAGCTAGGCTGAGCTAAAGGCCTGCTTGGATGCCCAATTAGAAGCTGACGGGGGAAGTTTCTAATCATTCCCACCTCGGAGTCTTGACTCAGGCTGCTCCCCACTCCCAGAGGCCCTGCCCTTCTGACCTTGGATACTATCCTTCTTGCCATCTTTTGTGACCCACATAAAATCCAAACGGCCAGGATTTTCTATTTTTTTAATAGAAAATGTAGTAAGGGTGCAATGCACTACTCTGAGGGCAGAGGCATCTAAGGCACAACCCTTTGCAGGAAAAAAAAAATTGACAATATGTATCAAGAGCCTACAAAATACCTCCAACCTTTGACCCAGTAATTCCACTTCCAGGAATCGTTCCTGTGGATTTAATCAGAAATGCAGACAAATATTTATACAACAAGAAATTCATTGCAGTATCATTTATAATTGCAGGTGCATATGAATACCTGATAATTGGGAACATTTAAGTAGATTATAGCATATCCATATTATACCGCCATGTAAAATGAAGCTGGTGAAGGCATTTTAATGCTGATGTTAAGTAAAAGCAGCAAACTTCCAAATGGTTTGTGCAGGTGATCCGAACAAGCCTTCCCAGCTATGGTTTTGTTTTCAGGGATGCTATAAACGGAAAGGCCCATTTCCAGCAAGGTGGGAAAGTTATTGCAGGCGCATAGGGTGAGGCTGCTGGGAGTCTTGGATATGCTAATGAAGTGGGAAATTCACGTAAAACGAGGCTGCGTGTACAAGGTCACTGTTTTACGCAGACAGCCCCTGGGACTGCCATTCACGCTTCAGAAAAGCTGGGCGGGGTGCCTAGGAAAGATGTACTACCGGGAGGGGTCGCTGCTGCTGCCGAGCTGTGGAATTATCTCACTTCTCCCTGGGAACTTTGTATACTATCCTACGAAGATGTGATAAGTGTTATGAAAGAAAGGGAGCCAGCGGACCGCCCTCCTACCAGCGTGGGCAGACGTGGAGTGCTGTAGGGGCAGCGGGCACCTGGATCCAACAGGGCAGTCATGCTCCAGAGGGTGGTCCTGGGGGAGGGGGGTGGTGGCAGCCAGGATAGGGGCGACCCCCAGGGCTGCCTGGTTGATGCTCATGCTCTGCCTACATTTCAAAGGGCACGGGATATGTCAGGGTCCCTCTGCACTCAGCCTGACCAGAGGTTTCCTGATGCCTCGGAGGACATCCCCGGGTGTCAACCATAGTCCAGGTTCTGGAATCTGCTGCCTGGCTGATTGCAAACCTCACGTCCAGGGTGCCCTGGGCCTCCTCAGATTGATGCCTCCTCTTCCTCGTTCCTCACTCTCCCATCACCCCTAGACTCTGCCTCCAGGTCTTCCTTTGTGCCACATCTACACGCCTGCAGCAGGCCCACCCAGTCACGCAGGCCCAGCCTGTGGGCTCTGCACCCCGCCCAGCGTCTGGTCTCGGGCCTGGAGCAGGAGGGGAGTGTAATTGGGTTAGGGCCTCTGGTGAGCTGTAACAGGCGCCGGGCTGTACAGTCAGTGGAGCGTAACAGGACTTTGGAGAATCTGCCTGGGCCCCTTCTGCTTATCTTCCACGGACCCCTAAAATATTCATCAGGCTTTATCAGCCTAATGGGCTTCAAAAGGAGCAATTTTCTGAGACATGAGATAGGACAATATAAAAAGAACATTAAGGAAAAATTCTTACTGCAAAATGAAAGGGAAAAGATCATTTAGCGTCCCCGTTGGTGTTATCTATTCATGAGAAACAGCGCGTTTAATCCATTGTGGGATGTGGGGAGGGCTTTGATGCCCTCACCTTGGGGTCACCTTCACGCAGAACTCATCTGTCTCTGCTGCCACAGATGGCAGGGGCCATGGAGACAAGAGGATACAGATGAGAGACATTTCGGAGATGGACTCCGTGGGGCGCCGAGGGATGACAGGGACAGGGAGTGTGGAAGAGAGAAAGTCTAACGTGACTTCCAAGGCACTCACTCAGGGGATTAGCGGGGAGCATTGTTCCTCAGCCTTTCTTTCTTGTATGCTTCCGATCTTCCTTCCCCCAAATACCCCAGTCTTGGTTTAACATTTTGGAGCATGCCGGGAGTTCAGCCCCTTGAGGTCAGGAACTGTGACTCCCTCCTAGTCCCCAATGTTCCTACCGATTAGGGTTCAGTTTTGGTTCCCAGCCCTAAGACCATAAGTCTTAGTGGTCAGGAGGACCACGTCCAGGCCAGGAGGACCTATTTGTGGTCCTTCTAAGCCTCCCCAGGTGCTCCAAGGTAGGACAAGGCCGAGTCCTCTGAAGGAAGACTGTCTCTCTCAGAATTGATTTTGCTTGAGTTAAACAGAGCATGAGATTACAGCAGCACCCCAGGCAAAGCTTCACACAGAGACAAAGGAATTGGGGGGTTCCTTTTCTTCTGCGTCTCGTCCCTCTTCCTCTTCCCATGTTCATTGCCTTTCTCTTACTCCTTTTTAACTCCTAATTCTTTCCTCTTCCATTTTCTTCTTTTTACCTTTCTCATCCCCTTCTCCATCTTCATTTCTACTTTTGATCTAGCCTGTTTCCTTTTATAGCTCAGTCTATCCCCAAACTTAGAAAAATAATTTTAATTTAATTTCTCTCTAGTAAGAAAAATTTTATACAAAGCAAATTTAAGCTGACACTTCCCCACCTGTCCACCAAGAGCTTGCCAGCCTATATAGCTGGTAATTACGTGACCTGCCCTCACTCAGATGTTTGCCTGATGATTGCATTCTCAGGCATTCCTCTACCCCATGGTTTGCCCCATCCTGTTTGATGTGAGCTTGTATAACTTCAGTGTTTATCAATCACTATGTTCATTGAGTTCTTTGCAATAAAAATTGTTGACCCAAAAATGCCTTCTCCACTTTTGATAATCTGAATAAAAGCCTGTTTACTATTTCATTGCATATTCAATTTTAAGTGTTGCTTCTCTTTCTTTTCATTAGATTTGTGACAAAGAGTGGCATTACTATGTCATCAATGTGGAGTTTCCTGTGGTTACCTTATACATGGATGGAGCAACGTATGAACCATACCTGGTGACCAACGATTGGCCCATTCATCCATCTCACATAGCCATGCAACTAACGGTCGGCGCATGTTGGCAAGGTAATCCTAACTCAAGTCCTTCTCCCTGGCCCATCTGTGTGCAGCCCATGAAAGGTACTGATAGAGAAAAGGGCACAGCAAATGGTGTTGGAATTGGCCAAGAAAATGTACTATCACTTACTAATAAAACAGGACTTATAAAAATATGGATTCATCTAGACACTAAGCTTGTGTAATAATAAAATACTTAGCTTGAAACCAGATTTTAATTTTAGATCATCATGAGCAGTTCTATGGTTGCCTCTGAGTTGCTAATGCCTTTTATTGTTCTGGAACCTTAGCCAGTTTCGGACTGGGGCTATGAATAGGAAAAGGTTGAATACAGAATCCTGTATCAAAATGGCAGTTGGCTCTCTAAAGTATCACACTGGCCACACAAGTTGCCCAAGCCCCCACCCCTCTGTTCATGGAAGTCACGGGGCTGTGGGCAATGAATTTCCCACAGGCATGAGGCCATGGGAGGCCACTCTCAAGTTCAAAGCTCTCTGCTCCCTTCTCACTTCCTTTCCTCCAACACACAAACCCAGGCTAGTCTTCTGTTTGGAATCAGGAAAAGCAGCTCTCCAAAGAACAGGCATGTAACCCTTCTTTCTCTCACTCGGATCCTTTGGACTCTGTTTTTGCTCCCTTAAGGGCTGTGGTGCTTTGAAGTCCCAGTGAGAGAGCAGAGGGGAAAGAAAGCACTCCCCAAATAAGCAGATTAGTCCTTTGCGATGACCCACCTCATGGTGATGGATTCTGTGAAAATACTAAGGTTTGTGACTTGGACCATTCACCATGGAGGACTGAAGGGAGAGGTGGGTTATGATATAAGAATATGCTTTCAGAAGACCAGCCAACCAGAGGGTGAGCTAGAGGAGACTAGGCCCCTCTGGAACAAAGAGTGAGTTCTGGAGCGAGCGATGGGGTCAGTGCATACACTGGTAGTGCAGCTCTGGGAGCAGGAATACAAAACCCAGGAAGGAAACAGAGCACGAATGAGGCAAGGAAAGAAAAAGTGTTTTTGAGCTGAGGTCACCTACTAGATGTCTGACATATGTCACATGATAGTCAAAAGTTCCTGAAACATTTCAATAGAACTTGACGAGGGTTTCCTCAGTATGTCAGAATTCCCTAGGATATCAGGAAAGAGAGACTGTCATCTGGCAAGAGTCCATGAAACTAATTAGTATAGCAAGGCACTGACTCAGAGGTTGCACAGGAATCATTAGTCACTGAGCACAGCTGTGCCAGAGCGATGGCCCCCTGGTGTGGCTCGATGCCCTACCCAGCACCACAGCCAGCCCGTGGATATTCTGGAGCACAGCCTGGATACTTCCCATACTATATGAGGGTCCTACTCCTGTCCTGACCATGCACCTTACCATGACGTTCCTGAATGGTCCTCAGAGACCATATCTGGATTCCTGTCACCCAGCCTGCACTGGAAACCTGCCCCCAATTCTGCAAGGCCAGTTATAACCACTGCTGTCTACTTTCATGCTCGCTGGGTAGGAAAACAATCCCACCAAAATAAAAAGTGATTTCATAAAGAATTAATATGATCTCTTTGAATCAAAAATAGACTAAGTGGTACTGCAGTGACAAGCAAGCCCCAATTTTCAGTTCCTTAAAATAATTCTTGTTTCATGTTCATTGCAAATCAATGGAGGCTCTTCTCTGCTTTCACTTCATCTGCATCCCAAGCAGACAGGGCAGGTACACTGCTGGCTACTGAGGAAGAAGAAAAAGAAAGCACAGGCTCTTGAAGTTTTCACCTACACGTGACACCAATCATTTTTACTCACATTTTATTGGCCAAAGCAAGTCATATGGCCATACTGAAGGACAGGGAAGTGAAATCTATAATGTGGCTGGGAGAAAAACCGAAAATATTTTATGAACAGCATTAATGAGCACCACAGACTGTCCACTTGGTCAACAGATATTTTTTTGACTGTCCTTCCCACATTAAAAAAATTCCAACCACCCTTCCCTAAATGAGACAACCCCAAGTCCCACCTGTTACTGGCTCCCAGCTCAGGGTCCAGGCTTTCTGAGTGATTCCTGGTGACCTCTTCATCAGGATGAGATACATGGGAGGTTCCATACCCAGCATAGATGTGGCTTCACTTGATCTAGATATGCACTAATAGAAAGAATTATTTTTCACAACCATAACCATTATCCTCTACACACACACACACACACACACACACACACACACACTATGCAACAGTGAAATGAGACAGAATAACTGAAAAACAATTCCACTAAGAAAGAGGAAGAATTTGAGAAATACAGCAGTCTTTGGTCCATAGCAATTCTGAAATCCCTCTGGGCTAATGCTCCGCAGGCCTCTACCCTAGGGTGGGGAGGGTTGTCTGTGGCCCTGGAATCCATTCTCAGTGAGGTGTTTCCTTCTCTAGTACTCTAGGCCACATCTAACGATAGAATTGTCACTTGAGAAATAGCTCTCATATTGTATCTGATTACAATTTATTTGAAGGCTATTCTGCAAAAAAAATGTTTTCAAACATTAAAACAAAGTATATGTTTATTTTACAAGAATGTGAGAGAAAGAATGATTACTAAGGTATTCACTGAATATTTCTGTCCTCTTCCCAGATAGATGTTAGGACCAATCTTTGTTGGAGTTAGGTGTGGTCATGTGACTTGCTTTGGCCAATTAAATGTGAGTAGAAGTCCTTAATGTCATTTCTTGGTGGATATTTTTAGAGCCAGTGTTGCAAGGAGACTCTTTACATACATGGGATGTCTAGAGTCACGTCAGAAAGTGTTGTTAGTCACAGCTGTAGATAAAGAAACGGAGGCTCTGACAGGCCACCCAACGTCACCCCATAAAGTCAGCCTGACCCCACATCTTCAAAGCATGTCCTCCTTTCACTGTGGCTCACTGCCCCTATTGCTAGTTGATCATTAAGTTGATGTAATTACATGTTTAGGAAAATGCAGGAGCTGATGTACATTGACACAAACACTATAAACCCTTTACCTTCTGACACATCTGACAGCCCTGGAACTAAAAAGCCACAGGAACGCTGCATGCCCTTTGCTAATCCCCTGCTGTATACTCCCTTCAGTGGCCCTCCACAAACAAAAAAGAATTTAGGCTTTGGAAATAGAAAAGTTTGAGTCAAATCCAAATCCCAGCCCTGCCACTTTCCAGCTGTGTGGACCCAGCAGAAATCCTAACTTCCCTGAGCTTTTATTCTCTTATGCATAAAACTTGGATGACACCCAATTCACAGTTGCTATGAGTTAGGTTTGGGGCACATGCAGTGTGCTTGGCATGTTTGGGTCAAATGAAAGTGACGATTTGAAAACATCTGTGGTCCCCTCCTCCACCTGCCCTCTGCTCCTTGCACTTAAACTCAACATGGCAGACACTTGGCAAGATCTTGGCACTCGATGACTTCTGTGATTCCAGCCTCCCCAGGGCTCCTTGCATGCACTGACTTTGATCTACTTCCCCAGGACTAACCCTCACACGCAGACCTGCCCTCTCAGCTCCATCTGTAGAACAGAAAGGTCACTGAGGCTCCAGAATAGTCAGAAAACAAGTCTTGGAAGATAGAACTTGTGGTATAGGCAAGAATCTGATCATGCAAAGTTTGGGCCTTGGGGAAGATTTGGGTATCTTCCCTGAGAGGAATGACAATCCATTAATACATTTTCGGCATCGGAGAAAATCCTTTGACTCTTTAAAATTGGGCTTTGTAGGACGAATAGGAGTTCACTAGAGATATAAGGAAGGCAACAGCCTGTGACATGGCAGGGAAACTTGATGCGGTCATGCTCAGGGTACCTTATCACTAGAATGTACGTGCACCAGAATGAGTGGAGAAGAGGCTGGGAAAAGAGTTGAGACCAGACCGTAGGATGTCATGCTGCCTTGTTAAGGAGCCTGGATTCGCATGAATGCTCATATCCTCCTCGGAGCCACATTTTGTCTTGGAAGGACACATCCCAAGCTCTTTCAATAGGACATGGTGCTGTGAAGTTAATGGCCTACACTGCAGCCCTCATCCCAGCATGTTTCTAAACCTTCCAGAGCCCACTTATCTCGGTACCATAAGCCCTCTGTGTGGACCTCCAATTGGGGCTGCAATTGAGGGGAGTTGTTCAGGTGCGTTTGAGGTTGGCAAGGGAACTGGCTCCCATTTGTGAAATGTCCAATTGGGGCTTAACAATGGGGATGGAAATTATTGTGTAGCAGCTGCTCGCTGGGTGCTCCTGGGAACTGGCTCTCGCACTGTTGCCGGGCAGTGCTCTGCAGCCCCAATTAGCCTACTGTGTTCTTTTAGTGAATTCAAAGCCAAAGTAATCAGTGGACCTTCATTTTCATTGGTATTTTCCTAGTAATTAAAAAATTTGAAAGTTCATTTACACTTAAGAAATGTCACCAGCACAGCCTAGAGCACATAGCATACCTTATTTGTGGAAAAATGGTGGTCAGGATGAGCCCCATGTCACAAAGGAGCCCTTCTTTCTCCGTGTGGCCAATGCACACCCCCTCACCATCGTCTCGGTGCTTGGTTTCATGGGTTCTCAGGACAGAATCAGACCCTCCCTCGAGGCCACACTCGGTCTGCGCAGGCTCAGGAACTGCTGCCTGTAAACAAATACCAGGTTCCTTGTCTCTTTCTGGGTCAGGCCTTGGGAGAGGATCATTTAAAGACTAATTAATTTGTCCTTTTCCTTCTATCTCCTGCTCATGCACTTCTAACAACAAACATTCAAGTTCTACTCATAAATAATAAAAATGGTACACTCACATCTGCTTCACCCCTGGACCCGTTAACTGGGCCCAATCACCCCGGTCCTCTAACCCAGCTTTCAGGGGAGTGACCCAGGAAGGCTGCAGACTGTGCCAGACCAGGGCCTTAGGGGGCCCCTGGGGGTTTAGGGAGATGCCCTCGCAGGCAACACTTCAGGGCACCTCTTCCCACACTGCAGCCAGAGCAGCTGTTTTATCTATTGTAACAGCATCTGGGCAA